AGAATAAGTGATCCATAGAAAAAGAAGAGGACAGAACTCATTTCTTGCTTTCATGGGGATGTGGGGTGAGTGTCATGTGTTGTTTCCTAAATACTTTCTTCTGCCTGATGCTCAGAGTGCTGCTGATGTGCTCTGGAGGAAGTTGTGTCCAGCCCTTCTTAACCAACTGAAGGAAGTAAAAAAAAGAGAAGAGAGACAGAGAGAGGAAGATCCTAAAGGAGTACCTTAAAGAAAAAAGATGTGCTTTGGCATTGCAGAGTTTTAAGTTAACTGTTTGCAAGCCACCTACAATAAACCAGATGTCACTTCTTTCATTATGGGTGCTCTTTCAAGATGATGTCCTATCTGAAAGGACTTGAAAATTCAGAAGCAATCTGACATGATGCTTTTCCTTCTAGGCAACATGCTGCAAATTCCCAGGAAACATAAATTAAACAGGAAAAGCACAAATATATGTGACCAGCAGGTCAAGGGAGGTGATCTTGCCCCTCTACTCCGCTCTGCTGAGACCCCACCTGGAGTACTGCATCCAGCTCTGGGGGCCCCAGTACAGGAGAGACATGGAGCTGCTGGAGTGAGTCCAGAGGAGGGCCATGAAGCTGATCAGAGGGCTGGAGCACCTCTCCTGTGAGGACAGGCTGAGAGAGCTGGGATTGTTCAGCCTGGAGAAAAGGCGGCTCCAGGGAGATCTAATTGCAGCCTTCCGGTACCTGAAGGGGCCTACAGGAAGGATGGTGAGGGACTGTTTGTCAGGGAGTGTAGTGACAGGACAAGGGGTAATGGGTTTAAGCTGAAGGAGGGTCGATTTAGATTAGATGTTAGAAAGACATTCTTCCCCGTGAGGGTAGTGAGGTACTGGAACAGGTTGCCCAGAGAAGCTGTGGATGCCCCCTCCCTGGAAGTGTTCCAGGCCAGGTTGGATGGGGCTTTGGGCAACGTGGTCTAGTGGAGGGTGTCCCTGCCCATGGCAGGGGGGTTGGAACTAGATGATCTTTGCAGTCCGTTCCAACCCAAACCATTCTATGATTCTACGATTCTATATGGGCTTTCTAATGGATTATAAAATGCAAAATATTACAAAGTCTTTTCCTGTTTATTTTATGTTGTGCATACCTTTAGTTTTACTCAAAGCAAGCAGTGAATTAGCAAGTATTGTGATACTCACTAGGCCTCCTGTCGTTCTCTTCAAAATTACTAAATAGAACAAATGGTCATATATACCTATAACCATGCATCCTATGCTGTGACATGCAGCTGTGGTTGAGACAGGACATGAAACTTTGCAGCTTCAAACAAGTCAGCAGGGTTAGTTAAAGGGCACTGGAACTACTGGGGCTGTTACTAGGGAGCTGATTTGACATCCCAAAACAAGAGAACAGCCTTCAGTATCTTGGGACACTGGGAACGGTAGAATGTCTTTCAGCCTCCGATGCTAATTTTTACATTTATTCCCTTTTCCTTCACTGGGAGAGAGATGTTGGTCCTCCCTGTCACTCTTGCAGAACAGAGAGAGAACATGTGAAAGAGAGTAGTGACTTCTCTTTTCTCCTTCAGCAATACTGCCAATGACTAGTATTCAAGAGGGTTTGTTTTCTAAGAGCAAGTCTTTGTTCGGGCTACGGAGAGCACTCATGGAATCAAGAAGAAGAAACAGGTCATTATTCCCAGGAGCGTTTTTCTCTACCTGGAGAGACAATTCGTGAATTTGGTGCTACCTAAGATGCTGTACAGTATTAAAACAAGCTACGGCTATTATACAACACTGAGTTGTTGTCTTTTTCTATTTTTGGTTGAACCATCAAGTCATGAAAAGTTGACTAATGACAAATAAGAACTGGAGCAATTTGTGTAATTAATAATGAAGAAATTTTTGCTCAAGCCAGCATTTCGGTTTTGCAGTGTTGCTAATAAAAGCAAACAATTAGATTCACAAAGCAGAGCTTTCCTGCTCCTTCCTATGTTGCAGCCCAATGACATGGATATCCATCTGGGACATTGGAGATTCACAGTCAGATTCCCTTCCTGTTGGAATCAGACCAGAGACGGGGCCTTGGGTGTCCCTCTGAGCACCAGCTTGTCCCCAAATCATCATACACAACAGCCATTCTGCAGCCCGTGAAGTATGTCAAATGGCCTCAACACAAAAGACAGTGATACTCAATAGTCGCATATCCTATGTTCCTGGAAAAGGTCACCCTCTCTTGCTCTGACTCACAAAAAGGGCTTGAACCAAGGTTTGCTAACTACCCATTGCCTCCAACAGTCCGTTATGGGAGAGAAGAGTACCTTCTCCAGAGATAAAGAATGGCACCTAATACGCCCACCTAAATCTAAGCCTCAAAACAATGCTTAAAAATGTTGAACAGATTTCAGCTTTCCAAAATTTATCTTTATTATTTTTTCTCTTTTGGTGGGACTAGCTGAAAACCAGCAGATGGCTTGTCACACTCAAACTGTAGGGAGAAGACAAGAAGCCATTTCTCGTGGGATACAATACCAGAGGCAAATCTCAAGGCTTTCCTGAATATAAAATTCCAATACCCTATCACTGAGAAAGTCTCAAAAGAACCCTGCCCACCAGCATTTTGCACTGTAGTGCTCTCTTAGCCGTAATTACCTGATTTCTTCTTTCAGGTTTCTTTTTTAATATCATTCATCATTATACAATACCATCCATCTTTAGGTGACCAAATTTCTGGCTGAGTCCCTAAGTTAGCTAGCTGCCCTTGGAGATCTGAAACCTGTGAATATAAATCACTAGACACAGGAGCTTCAGTCTAATTTAGATCGCATGAAAGAATACTCTGTCCTTAAGAGCAAATCGGCAGAGATATACTGGCCTCATGAAATAAAAGAACTACATCCATTTTAAGCACCATCTCATACAGGCGAGAAAATCAAGAAAAGCTTGACAAATACAGAAAACCTTAAAGCTTTTATGGACAGAAATGCTCTCCTTTTGAAGGCAACAGTTACTTCCATTTGTTTAGAAACTTTGGGCAGACCAGCACAACAGAGCCAACTACTGAAAGGGTTGTTATCAAGGAGAGGAAGAAATGTAGGGCGTTATCAATTAAAAGCTATTTCTATTAAATATCTTAGCCACTGGACAACGTTGACTCTTTATGAAAGGGCAAGCAAACAGTGTCTAAGTGAACAAAGAAGTATCACGTTAAAACAGGGCATGGGTTTGTAAGGAGAAAAAACTTTTCTTCCTATACAGTAGCTTTTTCTACATTCACTTAAGACAGCTTGCTGGGGATCCTGCTCATCAACCGGCACCCTCTCAGTCTCCAGGAAGATAGTCAAGAACAAGCTATCTGTGTCTATCTCAAAAAGACATATCTAGTATATAGTAAATAATCTAAATCAATGATATGTGCTATATATATGTGAGCATATAAGCCTGTATGTAAATATATATGGAGAGAAACAGCACCGGTCCTTGACTTATAGATATGTAAATGCACATACATACACACATTGTATATGTATATAGGTATGTATATACATATACATAGATGTATTTATAATACATACATGTAAGTATGCATGAACACATGTCAGTGGATGTTTATATATAGGAGCAAAAAAATAAGTTGGGAGTGTTCTTTCTCACTTTATCGTATCACTCATTTTGAAAATTTTTTCATATAGAACAAAGCGACTCCATCGAGTTATTCTGGACTTAAGCGTTTTCTCAAAGAAACCAGAATCCTTTCCAACTACAGGAAAAATTAATGGAAATTAAAAGCATGAAAATACTTTTCTTAAGAAGCAGAGAGTTAACGCTAGAACATGTATACACTAACCCTTCACCCAAATGCAGGAAGGAAGCCTACCACACAAACTCTGAAGCCAAAGTCGTGGCCCCACAAATGTAATCAGGAATTGGCCAATTTATAGTTTTTGTATTTGCCATTAAGTGCTTTCTCTCAGTGCTTCCCCAGCATCATCTCATCCTAGGTAAAATGAAGACTGCAGCTGATATTGTCGAGGCCACCGCCTGCAAACTGGTGGATGCCTGAAATGCAGGAAGAAATCAATATCCATCCCCGTGGAGCTTATAGCATCCCTGGGAAGATCCAGCTCAAGGCACGCCGAAGCCCTGTCTCACGCTGACAACACAGTTGCGCCTTTACACTACCAGCTTTTCTGAAACGAGCGTGAGGCTCTCAGTAGAGATGACTGCTGCCCTGACTTCTGCTCTACAGTTGTTAGACACTCTTATTCCCAACCCTTCCTGCTTCCGTCAGCCATGCCTCCTCAGTTGCAGGAAACCCAAGTATGTACTTCAAGGAGCTTTGTTGTTTCAGGAATGAGAAAATTACATTTTATAAGGTTATGCTCCCCCATTTTGTAATTACTGGCCAGATTTGGCAGATTCTGACATTAGTTTCCTGCAGGCAGAAGGGGTGATAGGGTCACAGGCACACCCAAAAGCTTTTGCACAACTGCACAAGAAGATTTTTTTTCTTGCTATTCTCCAATTTTCTTTCTCAAAAAAGCACTACATGGAATATCTACAGTAGCTTTGCTACTGAAAGCAGCCTGCCTGCCCTAGTGAAGCACTCCTGGTCTAGCTATCTTGATGAGAGGTGAGTTACACAAGCTGTACGGCTTACAGCTCTCAAGCTACCCTGGTATTAGTATTCCTACACAGAACACCTAGCTCTGGTCATTTCATTAGGCTTTTCTGGGAATTTGGCAAGTATTTTGAATGTTTTTGTAGAAGCTACACAATTTGCTCAGAAGCAGTTTGCTTTTTAGAGGCTATTCCAAGAAAACAATGAAACCATGAAGAAATGAGAGCTAGATTACATTTTAACAGGGATATCTGATGGCCTTACATTAGTCCACAATTTCAATACGGTCATTACAATGCTTAAAAATCATACTCATTTTACCCTGAATATAGCTAAGTTAACTGAAATTGCTTGAATCTACATTAAAGCAAAGCACTAGAGTCTGAAGCTTTCTATTAACAAAGGAGCACTTACCTGTAATCATAGTTAGAGCTGATAAACTTGCTAAGGCTGGGATATCAAGGTTAAGGCTCTTTAAGTTTAAGGAAAAGTCTTTAATAGAGTCGAGCCACTCCCCAAATCCACGAAGGCACTGAAGTCTATGAAGCACAAGTCCATTGCAGAATACAAACTTATCCTCAGCAGTATCAGACCTCAAATAAAAATAATTGAAAAAATTATAAATGCATCTTCTACTTTACAGCAAAATGCATAACCAGTATTGAAGTGTCTGTCATTTAAAATCCAAGGCATATTATCCTGAGACATATGTGGGCATTCACGTTTGACAATATGCTTCTCCCTTGGGGCCAAAGTACAACAAACAAGCTTCTATGATTGCTTACTTGGTAGAGTTATAAGCCTGAGGTTAGCTGTAGCATGTGGTGTAGACTGTCTAATTAGTTAAGAATTTGGTCCTGCCCAAAGGCATAAACAGAGAAGACATTTTACATTAAATACTGTATGTTCGAACCAAAGAAATACTAAGGGAGTGCATTTTGAAATACAAAACTAATAAAAACTGGAGAAAGAAGAGATTCTGTAACTCTCAGCATTTACTTAGCCTCATCTGCATTTTTCAGATTGTAAAAATTGGTAAGGAAAAAACAATGGAAAATACATGCAACAATGCACCACAATGCACATAACATCATAAACTCTTTCATATGAAAACCTGTGTGTAAGAGAGATATCACAGCTAGGCTCTCCTCTCCTTCCCCTCCCCATTGCCAATATCCCTGTTAAAAAATGCATGCAAAGGTCATTTTCAACCTAAAGAAACAAGGGCATAATTGAAATCACCAGTCTGGAATTTTCCCAGTTCCTGAAAGTGGTTTAGGTAAAGTGTCTTAACTAGCGCTAGACTGACAAATAACATCTCACTCTATTAAATGACTTGGTATTAAGGAGAAAAACTGTCTGACCAAGATTTTAAATCTTCTTCATCCCTTTCAAAAACAGACGACAAAAACGTGTGTGCGCAAAAGAAGGGAGAAAAGGAAAAGCTTTCATACTGAAGGTGCTTTCCTGTAGTTCATGCTGATGAGTATGAAGCAAACTTGCTCAAATAGTACCTGAGGATCAATTTCAATTACTAAGGAAGAAGAAGATGGGGTATATCAAATAAAAAGAAGCGCATTAGCAAGACCTATGCTCTCTTTTTAAATCACCTTCTTGCTTTTTCTGCAGCATAAAAAAATTAAATACCATATCCTTTGGATGCAGACATTGCTGATGCTTTGTGGGGTTTTTGGTACAACTGACAATGTTCAAAGATAGCGCCATATTTATTCCTTAAAAATATTTAGATGGATGATTTTTCACATCAGCTTAAGAGGAAATGAAATAAATAGTTACCTGATGGAGAGTCTTAGTACAAACAGCTCCAAAAAAGCTGATTCTATGAGTAATGTCTGATCTTCTTTGGGGAGGTCAGTAAATCCTGGGATTTTTTCTGCCCAGCCTCTAGTTATGTCAACGGAGGCAGTCAGAAGATTATAGAACTGTTGTACATGTTCTGCATCTGTGCCTGCAGCAGCCTGATCAGTGGAACAGTACTAAAATGAAAGCCACAGAAAGCAACGTTATATGCATTTAAGGGCATTCTGTGAAACATACGGCGTTACCTGCCCGACAACATTCCCTTCTGTGGCAAAGCTGGTATTATTATCAAAGGCATAATAAGTAGGTCTACGTCTATCTACCTATTTGGCTACCTACAGGCGTTTGCTATTCAGATGTATATTGCAAAAATATTTCCACACGTATAGAAATAATTTAAAATTTATAAATAAAATACAACACTTATCACATTGTACAAGTAACTACACGCTATTAGTAAACAAAAACCTGGTGGGTAGGATGATTTCCATTACACTAGAAGAGGAATACTGTTTAACTTACTACAATTAAACGCTTCTCCCATTGATGAATTTGTCTCAGTATGTCCAAAACACAGATTTCTTCCAAAACCTCTCAAACTGCATTTTATCTGACAGTGATAGAGACGCGCGAGATAAATCATCTTTTATCTGACACATGCAGCATTGCTTCATTTGAATACAGAATTGGTTCAAAGTAAAACAGCTGCCCCATATCACCTCTTATCCTTCAAATAGAAGCATTTAAGGTTCAGGAGAACCTATTATCCTGCTGATGCAGCCATAACTCTTCCAGACAACCACTCGACAGCCTCAGCTTGCTCAGCTTCCCCGTGACCCTCCGACAGCTCCCTCCCCGCTATCTCCTACTTCCGCACCAGTGGATGGATCCCTTTCACTCCCATGACACTGCTCGCTCTCTCTTGGCAGAAAATACAACAGGAGCTTTAGTGGCTTGGTCCGATTCTGTGCTTGGGAAGGGCTGCTGGTTTTCTGAGCAGGAACTGAATAATTTGGGATTTATTGCAACAACATCCTCCCCATCAAGCATCTTATGGGTTATTTCTGGCAGAGACTTCATAGCAACTGTCTGTCTGGGGACTCAGCCAAGGAAAGGTTGGGGTGGTCTCCATGGCTGAAAGCGGTGTGCAGGCCCTTTCAAAACAACTTTCCACAAGCACTCAGGGCTCGTGTCCGTCAGCCTAAAGAAGCAGAAAGACCCGCATCTCTTTCCCGATCAGTAACAGTGGGCTGGCAGCCTGTGAGGACCTCGTTACAGGCATGCCACTTGGGCTGCTGACATCACCCAAGTTGCTTACTGCAACCCAGAAGTCACCTCTGCGCAGGAAAGAGAGTGGGGAGCAGCAAACAGAACTCCTCGGGTGGGTGTCCTGTTCTCTGCCTGCCCTACTTGGAGATGGTTGCTGTTGGTAGGTAAGGGGTGAAGGACACAGTGTCAGAGTCGCTGATTGACTGGAGAACCATAGCAATCCCAGAGACCTCTGGCCGCATCTGGGGTACTGGTGCTGGTCCTGAATGACTCTGTTCTGCTTACCCTATACTAACTACATGAGTTTCTCATGGTAAACTCCAGCTCACATCCCTAGTCAGCTGGTGAAATACATGTGGTTCCTCTACTGAAGTTCATCTGGAGACAAATTCTGCCCCAGCTACTCCAAAGGATCCTATGACAATGAAGCAGGTAGAAGCCAAAATACAGAGAGGAAGGGGAGCAGCAGTAGAAAAATCTGTATGTTGCATCATTTACATGTTCAGCCCCCCCATCTGAATGGAGCAGTTGAGGATGCAGCATGAACTAACTACTCCTGGCACTGGACTGCAGCAAGATGTGCCAGGGTGACTAGTAAGTAGAAAAAGATCAGAGGCTTTTTCAGAGATCTTGCATGTTCTGGACCCTCTTAAAATGAAGCTGTGGAGAAAGCCAAGACAGCATGTGTGTGAGGAGATGGGCTTTTCCCATTCATGGTCTTCAGCCCGTGAAGACTCTGGGAGATGCGCTTTCCTGCGCCAGGGCTGAGCTGTGATTCCTTCTTTCTACACGGGGAAACCAAACAGGCTGATGGAAACTCCTGCCTCACCATAGGTACTGTTAAGGTAAGACACATTCTTGATCCTTTGAGCAGTGAAGAGGAAGGAAAAGAAAAGGAAAGGAAAACAAAAAAGATACTACCCTAAGTTCATTCTAAATATAACTTGTCACAAGTCAGTGTAATTATGCCAGGTATTAATTTGCTCCCAATATTTATAAAACATTCCTTTGGCAAAAGTAAAGCACAGTTTTAACATTTTCTAACGAAGCTGAATGCTGCATTATGCCACATAATTGTGAATGTTACAGTATGGTATACCCCACGTGGAGCACTTAATTAAATTAAAAGCATCTAAAAAAATTATAACCTGTATTTTTTGTTATAGTTTAGCCCATGAGAGCAATTTTAGAAGAAAGGTAAAAAATTATATGGAATTGTATAATTTTTAGCTACTGTAATATGTCACCATTCGCTACAAAGAGCTAGCACTTACAAAGGATAGCTAAAAAAAATTAGTATTTACTTGTAACAGACTTATGAGAATGGTTTGGTTTATGCACCAACATCTGTGTTTCTTTCCATCATTATTTCACTGAGAAGAGGTGGTATTTGACCTAACTTCTGACCAAGACAGCTAGCTGGTAAGCTTGCCCTTGGTCAGGAGGCCACGGCATGGAAGGGCTCAGACCTGCATTTCTTAACCTGCTCTGTCCCAACTGGAGGCACATCGGGAGAAAGCCAGAAGACAAAGCTCTGCCATACTCCCTTCCTCAGAGGAGAATTAAATGGGAACTAAATGAAATCCGACTGTTACTTAGGGAGTGCTGCAGTTACTCAGGGTGTGCTGCATGCGTAGCAAGCAACGTTAACTTGTACGGTATATCTAAAGAGATTTGGAAAGCCTGATGTTGGGGAGCCTAATAGCATGACCCTTTGCCTGCTTTCATCAGACCTTCATCAACTGCTACAGGTGCAAAAGACTAACAAAAACTTCTCTGCACAGAGGAGAAGCTATCCTTGTTTTTTCCAAAAGCCCCAATATTTGTTAAATTTTGTGGCTGGGGAAGGGCGTGGGGGGGTGGGTATTATTACCTAAATGCTGCACTCTCCCTCCAAAAAGGCAACATTTCTATTTAAGTTGGTGGCTATTCTGCATGAATAAGGACGGCAAGATAGAGGGTCTGTTTATCATCTCACTTAGAAGTGTAAACTTGTGGAATTGTACCAGTAAAACAGGTGTGAGACCAGACTGCAGCCCTTGGCCTTTAAAGAGTTCATAAAGCAAATTCTCTTCCTAGCAATTGCTTTTTGAAACCAAGTACCTAAATATACCATTGCTGTGGACTGGTAAGTTAAAACCAGTGCTGAAATGAAAAGTGGCCATGTTCTGAACAGAACCGGTTCCAATCTGTTTTGGTTTAATATTCATAGTTTAGGTAATTTATTTTGGGGTTTGGTTTTTTGGGTTCTTTGTGTGTGTGTAGGGTTTTTTGGAGGGAAGGGGTACACGTTCCTCTATGAAGCTCTTATCAGTATTTTTAAGAAGGTCAAGACATTACAGCTTGTAAACATGAAGACCATGCTAAACATTAAGGTCGTGTCTGCAGAAGTGTTAGGACTGACTCCAAAGCCAAGTTTTCGGATCTACCCATTTCTGGTGCACGGCAGGGTCACAGCCTCACCAAACGTGCCATAAGTTAGTCTTTACAGGTACACGATTATTCTTCAAAGGGATTTTTTTAGCATTCCATATTTCATTTATGTTAATCTCAGTTTTTACACAGCATTTGTGTCTGATCTCCGTTAACTTTTCAAAATAAATATGAGGTTTATGAAAAACATAAGAATCTATTCATTTCTTTTAGCATATTTTTCTCTTTTCAGTACTACTCAGTATAACAGACTATTATATATTTTATTGTAAAGAAAAACTTGGATATTAATGTGTCCTAACAGACAATCATACTTAATCTTTTAGCTACTGAGACTAAATTAATTTACTGTCAATCATATGCTTCCTGTAATGTCCACCAGAATTGTTCAACAATTAGATCTATGGGCTGTTTTCATTAAAAGACAGATAATTACTGCAGGACAAAGAAAAAAGTCACGTAAAAATATACAGTTTTCATTCACTTTTTTGTAAATGTAAAAGAACTTTATAAATAAATAAATAAATAAATAAATATGGTTAAATTTACTGTCAATCATATGCTTCCTGTAATGTCCACCAGAATTGTTCAACAATTAGATCTATGGGCTGTTTTCATTAAAAGACAGATAATTACTGCAGGACAAAGAAAAAAGTCACGTAAAAATATACAGTTTTCATTCACTTTTTTGTAAATGTAAAAGAACTTTATAAATAAATAAATAAATAAATAAATATGGTTAGATAAAGATACTGCTTTCATGGCCTGGGCTGTTGTACGCCTGTAATTCTGTGGCAGCCAGCAGATTTCTGTCAAAGAGCACAGCTCATCACAGACCTTAGTATTTGCAGAATGACTCCCTGAGACATTCTGGGTAAGTTACAATACGTGTAAATATGGCTAATGCATTTCCCCCCTACAAGACTGTCAGATACTGAACAGCTAGATTCTTAATAATAATTTGGAAAATCATATGATTGTATACTTACAGATTAGCTTGAAGAAAAGATGTTACAGCATGCTTAAAATTGTTAAATGATATATGTAAGTATGTTCTAAAATGGAATAATTTAATTTTTATATAATTACAATCAAATATGTTCTAGTATTAAATATTACTTAGCAACAAGTGATAAATGGCCAATGTAGATGCTGTCTGAGTATGGCTGGCTTTGTTTCAGTCTCA